GGGGGGGGGGGGGGGGGGGGGGGGGGCAGAAAAAAGGTGATTTATGAGGTTTTTTCTTGGTGGGATGAGATGAAACGTGTTCTGGAACTGGGACTAAACACTCAGTCTAAACTGAATTATAATATTTGTTCAGAAATCAAACGGATGAAATGTGAACTGCAAATGTCTTTGAAGCTAATTTTGAGCCTATAATGAGAAAAAAAAAATTAAAAGTCTAATAGTTCATGTCTGCTGCGACACTTGAAGACACCTGCAGTTAGTTCCTTCTTATTAACAGACGCTACTTTTAAATCTAATTTAAATTTAAATAGGTAATAACAGTATAACATTATTGTTTTAAACACAATCTTAATGTTCAAAATCTTTTAAATCCTCTTAACTTAGAAGGGTCTACACATCTTAAGCCTGTATCTCACTGAGCTATGACTGGACTGTTTACATCTGTGACAGAAAATTAGTAAAAAAATAAAAAATCAGCTGCAATCTCACTGACTTCAAGAAGCGAGCCATGCGGCCATTTTGAGCAACCAATTTTTGAAAATCTAAAATATGTATTCACATAAAATCACCAATTATGCCTTTATAATTAGCTTTTGAGGAAGACGGCGGCGGTAGTTTCGGCCTCTGCAAAACTGTCGAGTCTGTGTGAAGGTTTGGTTCGTGCTTCGAGGACTCAAAATCAGCTGATTTATGAGCTAAACCGTAAGATGGAAGCGATTTGTGAGAATCGCAGGCCACCTGCGGCTTCTGGGGTTCGCTAGCATGTTGGGGACGACCTTGGAGGGGCTCATAAGCACGGACCAGTGGCATGCCCATAAATCTGGCCATTTTGGATCATTAAAAAGTACCAGCAGAACTCAAGGCTGACGAGAAATAACAGCCTGCCTGAAAAAAAATAAATCAACAAATGTGGCTTATCTGAATCTGATTCCCCCGTTTGGCCTCGAAGCAGTCCGACTTATCAAACATCTCCTGAGATATGTGCAAACTAAGGAAAAACTCTGTTTATCGCAACATTATTTATTATTTATCAAACTTTTTCTTATTGTAGGATTTTATCCTAGTGCTTTTATACAAGTTGTAATATTTACATAAAGACAACATATAATTTGAAAAGTGTCAGGGGAATTTTGGTCAAGGTTTGTGGATGTTTTTAACTACTATGGCTGAGAATGTTAACCGCCCATGAACTGCCCATGAACTGCCATGAACCATGTGTTTGTTGAGTTAGCAGAGAGAGCTGAATGAGGAGCTGATTTGATAGTGCATGTGCAGCTGGTACTCCAATGTCACCTCCAAGTCTGTAAGCTGGGGAGCCGAGGCCGTCGTGACTTATAGTAGCTGATAAGTGTGTATAAAAAAACACTTCGCACATACAGTCCGGTGCAGATGTACAAACCCTCCAGCTGCATCCCGAGAACCCCCGTCCAGAAGCGTGGTGATATAATTCTCCACGTGAATCGATGAGAAGATGTGCTCCAAACATTTATTAGTTTTACATTTGTATCCTTCCTCAGATCAAATATCATCAATAAAGAGAAGCTGAGCTCTGCAGGGATTCCCAGGATGAAATGTTTTCTCACAAATAAAAAAAGTGATCAATGAGAAGAAGGGGAATTATTATACGTATAAGTTAAAATATATATTTTTAGCAGATTTGCAACAATTTTAAATAATTTGCTGTAATGAATCAATAAGGCCACTTGATGTTGATTATTGCACAAAAAAGTAATATAAAGCTAAAGCTAAGATTAATGGGTTTTATTTCTCACACTACCCATCAAACCAAAAAGCACAATTGAGTGTGTGTGTGTGTTTGTTTTAGACAATAGTGACACCACTGCTGACAGGAGTGTTTAGACAGATAAACAAGTCGACCGAGCTGCAGCACAGTAATGACTCAAAATGCAAAATCAATACAGGCGATTTGCTTGTGTGTGTGTGTGTGTGTGAGCGTGTGTGTGTGTGTGCGTGTGTAGGGGTGTGTAAAATATTTTGTCAAGCGAAAAAATGACCGAGCTCAAACACCAGATGGACAGATTTTGAAGGAGGAATCCCACTGAGCGCACGTAAACACACACCCACACACAGAGGTTTGTTTTGCAATATTTATGGGGACTTTGCATTGACTTCCATTCATTTTTCTAGAGCCTAACCCTGACCTTTACCCTAAACCTAACCATTACCAGTACATACCTAAACCTGAACCCAGCATATCCTGAATTCACTTCTCAACCTAAGCCCTAACCCACCAACAACACTGCTCCTTATGGGGCCCAGTCTTTGGGCCCCATAAGGAGCAGTTGGTCCTCACAATGTAGTATAAGCTGGAAAAATGGGCCTTACAAAGTAACATAAACAAACACCCACACGCACACTTGTTTAGTAAGTATCGGGAAGCACAAACTCTTCCTCAGGTATCGTTTTCCGTTTCAGCAGCTTGGAGCCAATTTTATTTGACAACCTGCTGCTGTGTTGACGAGCTGGAAGGAACACAAACGAAAAGAGAAACAAATAAAACCTGAAGGGAAACCTCTTCTCTTATTATTATCGTGTGCTCCGTTTAGCACCAACGAAAGAAACTGTAGCTCATGAAAATCAGACCACACTACAGGTAGGTCTGTCCAAACGGTCATTAAATGTTAATGCTACATTAGTGTCAGTCTACACGTTAACCCCAGCCAGGAATGACAACAACATGAACAACACAAAACATCGACAAAATAAAGGTTTTCATGACGGAGTTCATCTTAAACTTAAAAACATGACAGTTAAGAGTTGCTTTGGTCAAAGCTGGAAAATAATCTTATGTGGAATCTTTTAGTATGTGTCGGTCATGAGCCGCTACTACACAAAAATCAAAACTGTCCATCCATCCATCCATCCATCCATCCATCCATCCATCCATCCATCATCCATCCATCCATCCATCCATCTTTACCCCCTTCTTTTTTTCAGGTCGCGGGGGTCATGCAAACTCCATCCAGAAAGGCCCCCGGCCGGGATTTTAAACTGGGGTGACCTACTCGCTGAGAGGCGGCAGCTCTACCAACTGCGCCGCCGTGCTGCTCCCAAAACTGACTGAGTTATGCAAATTTATGTTTGTTAAAGTGATTCAAAATTTAAATAGGGTATAGATGAGAATTTAATTGTTTCTCTCTGAAATATTTATTAAAACCAGTCTGTTTCATGTGTTTTGTACGTACATGCATTTAACAAATGAGGGTTGGCTGCCTGAAGAAACTAACTGCATAAAGATGAGCTGCAGAAGTGATGACATGATTCCAAACCCCAACCAGCCACACCTGACTCACTGTGCCACGTCAGCCAACTAGTTGCTTTGTAAATGGTTTAGTGAGGAGTTTATAGGGGTGGGCTGCCATTTACTTTAAGATAATTTTCTCCTGTTTTTGTTAAGGAAGATAGGACAATTGTGTATTTTTGTATATATGATCATTCTGAGCCCATCTCTCTGTCTTCTCTAGAGCAGGTCATGTGCAGCTTGAAACCTTCTGGCTCCCCCTTTGATGTGGTCCCCCCTCGACTACTAAAGGAGGTTTTTCCTACTCGAGGTCTGTCCATTCTTGCTATAGTAAACAGTAGTTTATCCACTGGCGTGGTGCCAAAAACCTTTAAACATGCTGCTGTCCAGCCTCTCCTGAAAAAAAAAACAAACCATGACCCCTCAGTTATATCCAAATTCCGGCCTGTCTCCAGACTCCCATATGTTTCCAAACTACTGGAGAAAATAGTTTAGTCCCAGTTGAAGTGCTTCCTGGAGGATCACACTATCTTAGAGCTATTCCAATCTGGCTTTAAACCTCTCCATAGCACTGAAACTGCCCTACTGAAGGGTTTTAATGACATATTATTATCCACAGATACAGGTGATTCTGTGCTGCTTGCCCTATTGGACCTTACGGCCGCTTTTGACACCATCGACTATGAGATTCTCATCTTTAGGTTGGAGCAATGGGTGGGCATCACAGGGTCAGCCCTCAATTGGTTCAAATCCTACCTCGCTGACAGATCCTTTTGTATTTCCATCAAAGATTTTAGTTCTGCAGCAGCAGACCTTAAATAGGGGGTTCCGCAGGGGTCCATCCTGGGTCCCCTCCTATTCTTTTTATACCTGCTGCCACTTGGTGCTATTTTCCGGAAACACAACATACCCTTTCACTTCTACTCTGATGACTGTCAAATTTACTTCCCCCTAAGACACAATGGTACATGCTCTATTCATCCTCTGCTTGACTGCCTGGCTGACATCAGGGACTGGATGGCTTTACATATCTTAAGTTTCAATGAAAAGAAGTCTGAAGTCATGTTGTTCCCTCCCAACAACACGATCACGAACCACTGCATCGACCTTTCCGCTCTAACCCTATCAGAAAAACAAAAAGCCACTAATCTGGGAGTGATAATGGACCCTTCCATGAAACTCAACAGGCAGGTAAACATGATTGTTAAATCCTGAATTTTTTTCCAAATGAGGCAACTGTCTAAACTGAAGCCCATTTTGTCCAAAAATAACCCTGAGACAGTAATACATGCAATCATTACATCTAGGCTTGATTACTGCAATTTGCTCCTGTTTGGTATCAGTCAGACCTCCATTGCACGACTACAACTGGTCCAGAATGCAGCAGCCCGATTTATAACCAGTGCAGGCAAAAGAGAGCACATTACACCAGTCTTGGTCTCACTGCACTGGCTACCGGTTCATCTTCGAATCCAGTTCAAAATACTCCTGTATGTCTACAAATCGCTGAACAGCCCCCCCCCCCCCCCATCTCTCTGATCTGCTACAACCGTATGTCCCACCACGTTCTCTAAGGTCAGCAGACCAGTTACTTCTCACAGTTCCAGGAACTCA